ATAAAGCATTTCCCTGATGGATTTTTTCCCTCTTTTTCCAGGAAGAAGAAGGAACAACTGATATCTTCAGAGAGATCCCAATGGATTTGGTCATCAAGGACAACTTGCAGAGTAGGTGATCCTCAATGTCTGCCCAGCTCACATTCCAAGGGGTTTGGAATTTAGTCCTTCTCTCAGGAGGAGCTGAAAGTCCAAGAAAAACTTCAGCTAGTCTTAACTGATCAGGATTTATGGAAAATTCCCAAGTTCTGGGCAAAATCCTTTGCATGAGTCAACGGAAGGTGAATTTTTCAGGGACAAGTCTCTGATGGTAGCACAGAAATTCCTCAGGGAAGAGGTTGGTTAAAAAGAGCCTTTAATTTAGCTGTGGAATGTGGAGCAGGAGTTTGATCCTGGTGGGAAAGGCTCCAGTGAGTCTCTGGACAACACAAGGAATAAGTGGATTCTCCTTGTTGCCACCAAAAAAATCATGGAGATGTCCTTAAACTCTTCCCTGACTTGATTCATCTCACTAAAGGCAGAGAAAATAATAAGGAAATAACCTCTCTGTTGCCATTCCAGGAGTCTGGGAAGGGCTGGATTAGCTGCAGGGACAGAGAGAGGCTGGAGCAGGAAAACAGGGAGCAGGATCATCTCCTCTCATCCTGTTAGACCAGCTTGGCTGCAGCACTGGGAATTACACCTTGTGTGTGGTGCTCAGCTCCCTGCATGGTCTCTAATTCCAAAACAGGCCTGGAATTGGGTGAGATCCAGAGGTGTCTCATTTGGGATGGAATTTCTGCCTCACCTTGATGGTTTGTGTTGCCCATTAGGTTTCTTTTCATCCTTCGACTCCACTGTTGGCTTGGGCCACCCAAACTTGACGAAACAAGGGTAGGTTTCTTTTCATCCTTCGACTCCACCGTTGGCTTGGGCCACCCAAACGTGACGAAACAAGGAATGAGTGAGAGCAGTGAGGAATGTGACAGTGGGAATTCAGGCCTGGAAGTGAACTCTATGGTGCAGATCACCTTGGACAAAGGCAATCAGGTCTCCGGGATCATCCGTTGGTTGGGTTATCTGCCCTACGTCGAGCACAAAATGGCTGGAGTTGAACTGGTAAGGAGCAAACTGGTCCACACCTCTCAAAATGGATCCTGCCCTTGGGTCACAGCAACTCCATGGAATGCTCCAGGCTTGGGAAAAGGCCCTGGGAGTGCTGGTGGCAGTGGCTGGACATGAGCCAAGGTGGGCAAGAGGTCAATGGGTCTTGACTTGTACTAGTCATGGTGTGGCCACAGCCCCAGGGAAGGGATCACCATCCCCCTGTGGTGGCACCTGAGGCACCTCCAGCCCTGGGGACAGGTTTGGGTCCCCAATCCAGGACATGGAGGGGTTGGAGCGTGTGCAGGGGTGGGAATGGAGCTGGGAAGGGTCAGGAGCAGCTGACATAAGTCCATAGCTCCATAGGGCCACAATTCCATGGGGACACACACACAGCTCCATG